CTCCAGACAAGAAACTTGTTCTCTCCACCTCTTGCCAAACAGGCAGCTTATGACTATTCAATCTATACCTTTTCCTACCAGACTGATTTGTAGGTATCATGCGATACTGAACTTGCCCTCTACTAGTCTTCTTTGTAAACTGGCTTCCAGAATTTTCAAGGGGGTGATGAATGTGAGACACACCCAGATTTCTGTTAGTTCTGCCATCCCAAACCTTAGTTCCAGGGGAATCAAGGCCTGTTATGTTGCCAGTTTCTTCATCTTCAGAGTTATAACCACTACTGCTTTCGGATTCAACCCCCTCCAATCGCATGTGGTTGGGTTCATTATCTTCTGGGTGCGAACTAAAGGAACAGTTTATTACTCTATGCTGGTCACGTCCAGATTGAACAGTATGGCTGTCAGAGGGATTAAGTTTGGCTGTATCTGTTCCTTTGGCCTTCGACATTTCCTTTGCATGCCCTACAGTGACATGCTTTCCTACAGATGAATGCTGCGGGACTTGCTCAATTAACTTCTTTTCCCCTTTCTTTTTGTAGTTTCTCCCCTTTGCCCACATATTTTCAAAATTCTCAGGAGCAAGGACCTCGGTTTTCCTTCGTGAAATCAAATCTAACATATCACCCCATTCCCCTGCAGAAGAGTGCTGTTGAATTCCCTGTTCATCACCTGCAGTTGTGTTTGGGGTTAATGAGCTCCATGAACGAGAAGATTGTGTATCAACCGAAAGGAGTGGATCTTTTGAAAAATCTGTTCCATTCACATTTTCTGTTTTAGCAGAATCTCCCACATTCTGAGACTGATCATTTCTTAACTGCACAAGTTCTACACCAGTAACTGAAGGGTCTAGGAACCTAGAAAAATAATCAGCAGAAATCTTGGAAGAACCAGTTGGTTTTGCCTGAGATGCCTCTACTGTTTGAGAAACGCCCTCTTTGGCCTTTGTCATGGATATGACCAAGGATTCAATTCTTTCATTTATAAACCTGCCCTCAAAATTCCAGGAAGACAATGAACAGCAGTGACTATGAAGTAAATTAAAGAGTTGAAAGAAGGACTACCTTGGACTGGCTAAATTTAAGACTGGTCGCATCACAGCACAAGCAAGAAGCTCCCTCACTGTATATCGAAAGAAAGAGCACTGCAGATCTTCAGGTCTGAATGTGAAAGAAATTAGGCCATCCATCAAATGCTGCAAAACCTGCCAATTAGATAATATGGAGTTGTCTTTAGAAGAATAAGGAACACAAATGAACCTAAGCAATAATGGCTTCAGCCACAATGGCTTCATGCTTAGAGCATGATGCCATTGACTAACTAGGAAAATTAGAGAGCGATGCATACAGTAATAACCTTGTGCTCAGCTTCAGCAGAAAATAAAGCCGGATGCAATTTATTCTCAGCGGAAAGGATGCGTCTAATTTCCACATCTCG